TAAAATTTTTTCAGCCACAGAGCACCATCACATTTGAGCTCTGTAAGAGTGGTTGTTGAAATGAAAAGAATAACTTCAATTGTGTCAATTGGATTATAAGGAGTCAAGAGCTGCAAAATGTAGGTTGGGGCCAGCCTATGTTGGGCTTTAAAAGTTATTAAAAAGAATCTTGAAATCAATCCTGAATTTAACTGGTAACCAATGAAGGGATGCGAGAATCGGTGTGAGCCCTACGGTTTGTATTTGTTAAAATACGAGCAGCAGTGTTCTGAACAAGCTGTAAACGAGATACCAGGTTTTGGCTAAGGCATGAATACAGGGCGTTGCAATAATCCAGGCCGGAGAAAACAAAGGCATGTATTACCTTTTCTAAATCAGAGTGGGATAGTACCGATTTGATTTTAGAAATGTTACATAGATGGAAATAGCAAGATTTATTGATCTGATTAATATCAAAGCAGGAAGACATAAGATATTGCCACTAAATTAACTCTTTATTAGTTAATTTGGCTTTAAAATGTAAACTTCTTGCTGTTGTAGAAATGTTTTTTTTTATTGAGCAGTTTCTCCAATTCCAAGTAGCAGGAAGCGAGAGGGAGTATTTGTCCGAAAATAAAGTCAGTTGAAATAAAATCATTCTGGTGAAACTGATTCAAGGCCAAAGTTCTACCTAAACAGTGCATTTTGACTGGATTGTGGTAATTTAGTGTAATGGGCCAGGATATAAATTCTCCAGCTGAATGAACACAGAACATTCATATAGTCCCATTCTGGCCTGTGTTGACCTGTCATGACTGAATACATGTGAATCCTCCACCAAAATAAAATTCAGGCCACTTTTGGAATCCAATATTATATCTAATCACATTTCTAGTCAAGTTTGGTAGCCAGCTGACACAGACCAACAAAATAATGGTTTCCATCTGAGAGTCAGTTAACCAATTGAAATAAATTTGTATCACATAGTCTCTCTCTCTCTCTCTCTCTCTCTTTCTTCAGTATGTGGACCTGAATTCATCCCGTAACCTCCTCATCCTCGGCTTCTCTACCTTCAGTGGACTTGTCTTACCCACCTGGTTTCACTCCAATCCTGGCGTCATTGACACAGGTTATTTTCACACTGACACACAAACAGACACACACATTCATTAAGTATGCATGTACTCACTGACTCAGTCCCTTAAATTTTAATCATATTAGAATTTATATTTTAAAATAATATATCTACCACGTGTTATTACCTATGCAAAGATGTAGTGGAGCAATGGAGTTATGAGCAGTGAATGAAGTCACACTCTACTGTGTTTATTCTGATCAAAACTCTGATCTTTGCTTTGGTAACCGATCTGGCTGCATGTGCATGTTGATTCTTCCTGTTGGCTAGATGGAGGCTGGAGAAGTGGCATTTGATTTGGTGTGAGATGCTGGTGCTCTCCTGCGACATCTAGAGGCAGTGAATATCAATTAAACTGAGAACAGCCGTGTTTAATAATTCCATAAATCACTGTCGGTCGGTCTGTCTCTGTGTAGCTTGCATATCTCAAGAAATGGTCATCTTGTCAGCTTCACACTTCTGTTTTTGGAAAGACAGCTGCAACCAGCATCACCACACACCAAGAAAACAGCCCATTCCAAACAGGCATGTCAGAACAGGCTCTGCACTGGTTTAAGAAAGCAACTACACTCATAATGACTTCCCAGCAACAGCAGACTGGAGAGCGATGATTTTGTGAGAAGTCTGGTATGTTCTTGTACCAAAATAGTCAAAAACTGTTTGTCGTGCAAATTTATGCTGCATGAGAAAAATCAAGACAGCGGAAGAAATGCTGAAGTTTGATGAGATGGTAGGTGGAGAGATGGAATATATTTTCTACTAGCAGAACCACTAAAAAGGCAAATGACTGAGGGCAACACACACCACTAAGAAATGAAATGCATCAAAACACCCACACTTAGTTTTAATATACACTGTTGGCCCACACAAAGTGTTAACGTGGGTTAACTTTTCAAGATACTTATTTCCCAGCATCGATCGGCATCAACTCTTAATATAAGCAGCAGATATATCACATTTTCTCACTGAGATCAGCAAATCACAGTTACTGTACCTCAATTACCTTTTCATCTGTACCCACATCAGAGCCACACGTGTTAATACCAAGACTGAATAATATCACAATCACAATCTGTACACACATTCACAAATGTGTGTTTTTCATTTTCATGTGGCTTTGCTTTTATTTGCTTAATTTTCATCATAAGTCTGGCGGTCTCGTTTTTGTTATGATAAAAAAAAGGGATACATCTAGGTTAATCCCTGTCGGAGGGACAGCGAGAAGAAGGCTGTGAGCTACCACTGCTCCACTTAAAGATTGCACTAGAAAAGATGACAGCGGTTCTGCCAGCCTAAGCTCTTGAGGTCAACGTGTTCCGAAATCCCACAGGCCCATATGGCAAACACTTGGTTACCTTTAGCCTTTAGCCTAGATTTTAAGTTGCAGGGAGAGCATTTTTAATTGTCTTACCTGAGCCTGAGCCCTGATAATGTTTTTGTGTTTGTTTTACCCCCAAGTAGTTAGTTTTAGGATAAACAGGTCAGTTGTTTATCACTCATCTGAGAGGCACTTGGCCACTTCAGTTATGTCAGGTGTAAAGAGCTGCTCGGCCTGTAAGAGCTACTCAAAGGGGCATTTACACTCTTGAGTCTATCATTCACTCATGACTTGGGAGCGACTGTGGCGAAGAGCAGGGCTGTGACTTCTCTGTGGTTTGATCTGGAGCTCCTCCAGCTCATTCCCTCCTCAAAGTGTCCTTGGGGCAAAACCCAGAAACCCAAATTGCCCCTGATGCCTGTGCTGTTACAGTGTGAATGGATGAAAGGGAGGTGTATGATAGAGATGCACTTTATACAGAAAGGCTGTATGAATGGATGAATGTGACCTGTAATGTAAAGCACTTTAGAATTTCGCTTTTTATTGTGGTGTTAGGGTTGGAGTGTTATTTATTTAAAGTTTAATCATGCTGGTGTTGTCAGTCCTTGTGAGGGTGGAATTGTGAGTCTCAAACAGTGACAATTAGCTGCCTGGGGAAACTATAGTCAAAAAATAGTTGTGATTATCATTCAAAATACATCAATCATCATTGAAGTTGTGCACACTTATACTATCATTAAAGCCACACACACAGAATTTCTTGTTTTATTTACCTTTTTACTTTGGTATATTACAGATTACAGATGTTACTGACTGACTTACATCAATTCTTTTATCATTCTTTTTTGACTGACAATTGCTGCACTACTGGAATAAAAACTGTAATTGAATGAGTCACATAAGATAAAAATGTCCTTGTGATTATTTGTGAATCCCATTTGCATTGTAGCAGCTCTTGAAAAAGGTTCAAGTTCAAAGGAAAATACGTGTGCACAGAGTTCACATAGGGCAAAATTACACATTCACTCTGGGTTTAAATCTGGGTTGAGTGTCTGCTCCAGTGAACTGGCTTGTCAGGTAGGAAGGAGGAAGCCAGAGGGAAACTAACAAAACCAAAATATGAAGCCATAGTCAGAAAACATATTCCCCTAAAATAAGTAAAATATTGCTAGACTTGCTTATACTTGAAATCATCCATTTTACATAAAGTTAACACGCACACAAATACATATGCGTAACAGGTAGAACTTAATATAGCTAAACCACGGAATATGAATCTATCAAATTAAATTAGACAACATGGAGCTTCTACAAACACAAAATCTGATCGATCAGAGAGCTTAGAAACAGCCAGAGATCAATCACAGGCCATCACCTGATGATTCCTCGCTTTTGATGACACATTGATCGGCCTCGCAGCATCGCCGTGGCCACCAGCTATGAAGTGCCATCAAAAGAGCAACTCTCAAGATTAAACAGCTCTTCCCTGCAGACATAAGACTTTGATCCCATGAGTCATGTGATGAGTGTCTCCCAGGAAAGTGCTAATCCAGAGTTCAACACTGGGCATAAAGGCTTGTCTGGTTTTCTCAGGTCTAGGCTGCTTACCTCCAATCCTCTTGGCTAGCCCCCATGTCACTGGCTGTAATCTGCCTGGCTGAGATAAAATACTCTCTCCCCAGCCTCAACACTGAGGCCATAGCTGCTCACATGAAGGAGCCTGTCAGTACTCTTTGTAAACAAACTGCTGCGCATCCAGACGTCTTTAGATTTACAGATTGTGAGATTTAAAATCAACTCAGCAGGTGCCTTGAACTTTTGACTGATACCTCTCTAGGCAGGGTGTGTGTGTGTGTGAGTGTGTGTGTGTGTGTGTGTGTGTGCGTGCGTGCGTGCGATATGGGATGGGTTCTACGAACAAGAGTGTGTTCAGAGTCCAACTACGTCAATACTGTTTGCGATTCTTGATTCAATTCAATACAACTTCATTAAGCTGTTTATTACCTAAGGGGCATTATGAAAACAGGACATGCAGGCATTCACATATTCAATGGAGCTCTGTATTCACCCATGTGCTAGTGGCAACACATGCCACATGAAAGGCCTGACTGAGGAAACTGGAGTGCCACAGTTGTCTAGTGATTACTGAGACTGCTCCTCAGCCACCAAACAACCTTCAGAAGTCCAAATATTTGGCTTAATGCTCTCCTTTATCAAAACTGCCTAACACGGCCAGATCTGCCATTTGACCTATGAGGGAAGAATGTTGAAACTAATTGTCAAGTTTTCTCATGGTATGGTACTCTTATCTACTGTCTTTCTTGTCATTCGCCTGTCTTAAGTGTCATAAATATGGGCAACTGGATATGCAAGTGTTTATGGCACATACCACCTTGACAGTGGTCCAGCCAGTCAGGATATGAGGCTGGCTGGATGATTTACTGCATGTCATTCCCTTTCTGTCAAACGGAGGCATAAAAATGTCTAGAAAATAACTATAAGAAAAGAAAAAATGAACCTAAGGCAGATCAAGAAGCTGAACATGCAAAGCATATACACATGCAAAATATTATGTTGAACCACACACTGGTGAAGTTGCATGTTGCAGCTGAATACAACAGTTAATTAATAGGGCTAAACAATATAATTTGTAGGCCCAGATGATGCAGGAGCTGAGGAGGAGGTGCAGACGACCTCTCACTCCCAGTTGCCAACGCTAGTCACACATTCCACTTCCCAGTCCTCCTTCCTGGAGTCTGGAGGTTGTACAAAAATCATCTGGCTCTCCTAGATGCAGTGAAGGAAATTGCGTCAGGGTGTGTGTTACATTTTTTTGGACAGCCTGGCCTTCTTCATTTGTGCGTATGCATGGTCTGAGGAAGTTCTAAATTAGTTTGCAGAGTACAAACATATTTAGGTTAGAGTTAAATGACTATATAACCATTAAATTGCTTTTATTGGCCATCTTTAATGGCTTTAGTGGTGAATGGATCATCAAATGCAAAATAATATATAAAAGCAAACTGAAAATTGTACTCTCTCACTTAAATAAAGATATGGAGCAGTACACCTATTGTCTGCAGGTTATCCAGGGTAAAACCAAGGGAGTTTCAGGAAAAAAACATATCTGATTGTCAAGGCTTACCTTGTGAAGCAAAGATGGGCAGACGTGGAGGTGAGTGGGGTTTCAGGGCAAGGAGCATGTTTGACAGAACAAGGGGCTGGAGACAGGGTCCGAGTAGAGACAGAACTGCAAGAAGTGGAAATCAGATAAGAAAACGGGGTAATGGGCTACCAATAAAATATATCTTTGAATGGTTTGTTGGGGATGCAGGCACAGGGGGAGGGGGAATAGGGAGAGACGGTGTGGTGTGGTGGAGGGGGGTGGATGTGACAATGAAACTTTAAAATGGTCTAAGTTTAAAAAAACACAAAAAGGATCTGGAGGTGTACATTTAAAAGGAAGTGAAGAACTCTGTAGCTTGCCCCAAGTCTTTGCTTGAGGCGAGCAGCTCAAGACTACAGTAGCCACAACAAGCATGGCATGTGCATCCCCGACCTGTACTGTACTGGTGGTAAAGTTGCATTGTGGGCAGTGGGAAGATGGTTGCATGGCTATAAAAAAAGATGGCAGTGGATTTGATCCCTTTGTTTTGACTTTGATTAAATCGAGGTAATGCTAAATCTATGAATAGTGAATATTGTTTTCTGAGGGGGTTGGGACGGTTGGAACCACAGATGCATAGTAAACAAGAATGAGACAACACGAATAAGTGGAAATTATTTGCACAAAGTGTTTTTTTTTTCTACTGTCAGGCCCCAGTTGCTGTTGGTTTTGATTTGTGGGAGCCTGTATTTCTTTCCGTTTTTACTAGGCTGAACTAAAACCTGATCTCTGACCTTCATGTGGAGGAGGGAAGAGCAAAACGAATCTCCCTAAAGGATTTATAGTTGTCACTTTGTTATTTCACAAGGTACATTGGTCGGGTTACAAATAAGGTTTATTCTCTTTCTTTGATTTGAAGGAATAAAAGAACTGGACCAAGTGATTACTGTGCTCTTTACTACCCACATGTTTATTGGAGGATTCTTTGGGTTCATCTTGGATAACACCATTCCAGGTTTGTAAATAATAATAGTCATACTAAATTGTTAAATATGTCCAATCATCATTTACAACCAACTTCTTTTTTTCAGGTACTGAAAAAGAGCGGGGCATCAAGAACTGGCAGGAGAAGGTGCAAGGGGAGTGCAAAAACATGTGTGACCAATCTTGCTATGATATCCCTTTCTGCAACAGTGTTTTGAAACGGTTTAGAGTTTTTCAGTACCTGCCCTTCCTCCCTTCTTACAAGACCACCCAGCAGCGGACATCCAAGTAATGAAGTGCTACCTTACGGATGTTGGCCATTTGGCCAAGCAAGTTACCTTAGTTACCTTAGGATTGGGAAACAGAACAAGTGGAACTGGGGAACTGCATTGAAAACAGGCTTCTAACCTCACATAAACATTGTTGGCACACTGGTCGTTGAATTGCTTTACATTATTCATGGTGATATTGAATTGTCAGAGTGATAAATGTGTTTACCACTGAGCCACTATGACCTTTGTCTGCTACAGTTTCCTCCCACACTTTGAAACGTTGCAGGTTTGTAGACTGGATAAAACCTTTAAAATATAACATATGGTTACTGTTTGTCTCTATGCAGCAGTGCACCAACCAGAAACCATTCAGACTGTGCCTGACCCTCTTAACTGCAGTGTGAGGGAATAAAATAATCCCCTTTGAGTGAGGTTCTGTTAAATAAATCTAATCTAATCCAAACCTCATATCATCTTTAACACTTAAAGTATTTTGTCCATACATAAAGTCAGAAACCGATTCAACTGAATTTATAAAAAAGAGTTGAGTTTCTGTGTCTGATAACAGTTGGAGTTAACCCACTCGAAATCTAT